CTTCCAAGGGAAGTGGTGCTGGCCCCTACCCTGGGGGTCTTTAAGAAGAGGCTGGATGCCCACCTAGCTGGACTCGTTTGAGTCCCATTTCTCTTTTTGGGGTTTTTGTTGTTCTCCCGCCCTGGCGGGGGGTCGGGCTAGAAGATCTACTAGGTCCCTTCCGACCCTTAATCTATGAATCTATGAATCTATGAATCTGAGGTGACTAGCAGGGTGCCCTACTTTTTCAGGAAAAAAGAAGCCTCTTCTGCTGTGTTCCCTCCTGCTTCTGCTTCCTCAAGGTCCCCCACTCCCCCACTTAGCTCAGGGCTTTTCTCCATTCCCTGGTGAACATAGTTTAAAGCCCTCTTCACTAAGGTGGCGAACTTGTGTGTAAAGATGCTCTTCCCTCTCTTTGTCAGTTAGATCCCATCTCTTCCCAGCAATCCTTCTTGGCACAACATCCCATGCTCAAAGAAGCAGAATCCCTGCTGGTGACACTGCCTGCACAGCCATGCATTGATCTGCAGCACGAACCTTCTCCTGCCAGGGCCCTTTCCCTTGAATACAATTGACGTATAATTTGCTAGCCTTTGTAGGGCAATGCAGACTTTTTTGTGTTTTAAACTAGATAAATCCCATAAATGCAAGTTTTCACTCAAGACAAGTGAAGGTCTATAACCACAGATTAGGCTTGTGCCAAAACACAATTACCCGCTAGGCTAAGAAGTCCAGTAGCCAGAAATGTAATGATTTAATGATCTTGTTATTTCTTTTACTTTCAGCTGGCCCAGAAAATGGGATTTCCCCCTAACCTGGTGGAGGAAGCAGCAGAAAACATGATCAAGATTTATAATCTCTTTCTGAAGTATGATGCCACCATGATAGAAATAAACCCTATGGTAGAAGATGCTTCAGGAATTGGTAAAGTTTCCTCCTTTACTAATGCTCATAAGGGGAATTTGAATGTGGCATTTCATAAAGCATATTGTCTGGTGCAGAAATTCTACTAAAATTTTCCTTTGTGCATAGCGAGATAATTTAACATGATCCTTTGAAAAATGAATTTAGGAAACTGTAGCACCTAAATAACTACAGATAAATTCAATGCAGTTTGAGTGGCTTTTAGATTCAATGTGCATTCAACTCCTGTAGACTGCTGGGCATTGGATCAAATGTTTAGAAGTCCTGGTTAGCAGTCTTAAGTCAAGACCTTTCAGAAGTGACTAGGCATTAAGGCTCTGAAAAAAACTCACATCTAAAAATCATACTAACTGAAAATTGGGTCCCCCTTTAAGTTGTTCCAAGTAGGTCAACAAAAAACTAAGTAATGTTTATGGCTGCTTTTTTAAATGAAAATATTAATTCTGCTCTGAAGAGTTGATGTTGAATACTTAGAGTATTCAACAGATCTTTCATCAATTTTTAGTGCTAATTGCTAGCCTGTTGTTTTTCCAACAGTTGATTCTTTTTGTGCCCAAGCAGAGATGTAAGTTGTTACATACTAAGCTATTGCTTCCTCAGAAAAGAAACCTGTGGAAGAACCCTTTTGCATTTAAGGGGACTGCATTGGTCTCCTTTGTTCTACCTTTTTATATGAAACCCATACTTTTAATCTAAAAGCAGGAACCAAAATGTGGTAAAAATATAATAGAGGTGGCACTGTGGAAGGATTGATGTAACAATTTATCATTTGAGTGGTATGCAACTGATCCAGGCACATAATAAAACATATCCTAAACTATGAAATAATTCCATTTCAAGACATGCATTTTTACATGTTACTTGCACTATTCAGGCAGCCATAATCCACTTTCTGATTCTATAACTTGCAGTGCCTCTAGGAGACAATGATATGGTATTGTCTAGTCCTGTGATGCTAGTTTACATAAAACATTGTTTTGGCAAAAGTTTGGAGCAAAGATTTCATAAGTACTCACTTTCAACTGGTTTCTTAACATGTATTCTATTGTATGTACATTGGAGAAATAGTTGTGGCTTTAAGTGAGGAGCACTAATGGCATCTTTTGTTTCTGTTTTGTTTTTCAATCTTACAAGTGATGTGTATGGATGCGAAGATAAACTTTGATAGCAATTCAGCATATCGTCAGAAGAAAATCTTTGATCTCCAGGACTGGACGCAGGAGGATGAAAGAGACAGAGATGCGGCTAAAGCCGACCTCAACTACATAGGGTTAGATGGAAACATAGGCTGCCTAGGTATGTAATTTATGTAACAGAGGTTTAAATGCTGTTGTGTTTGCTAATGGAATTCCTAAATGCACTTTATTTTTTCTTTAAAGTAAATGGTGCTGGTTTGGCTATGGCCACAATGGATATAATTAAACTTCATGGCGGGACTCCAGCAAATTTCCTTGATGTTGGTGGGGGTGCTACTGTGCATCAAGTAACTGAGGCCTTTAAACTTATTACTTCAGATAAAAAGGTAAGAGAGGGACTGGCATTTCAAGAGTCTGCAGTATTAAATAACAAATTGCATTTTGAAATGACACATAGTACTTATCTTAATAAATGTCATTGTCTTAAGGGAGACTACAGAGAGGGAGAGAGAGAGAACTGTTTTGATCTCTTTATACTTTGTGATATGGACTAAGAGGCCACCAAAAACATATTTAAGGGTTTTTTTCTTACCTATTGAGCCCAGCTTTTTGGACAAAGGAAGCTTCTTAGGTCGTTGTAGAAGGGGCAAAGTGTATTTGAATCTTTTCCATAGAGCCTTTATAGGCATCTTATCAGTTGTTCAAACTTTGCTCAGTTCTGATGTATGTTACATACAAGGTGTTTATAATTTCATAGATTTCATAGACATTCAGGCTGGAAGGGACCTTGGAAGATTATCAAGTCCAGCCCCCTGCCCCAAGGGCAGGAAGTCGGCAGGGATCATAGGATCCCAGCAAGATAAACATCCAAATGTCTCTTGAAGGCGTTCAAAGTAGGTGCTTGAACCACCTCCGGCAGCAGTCTATTCCAAACCTTGGGGGCTCGGACAGTAAAGTTCTTCCTTATGTCCAGCCTGAAACGGTCATGGAGGAGTTTGTAACAGTTGACCTTGTCATCCCTTGGGGTGCTCTGGTAAACGGACGGTCCCCCAGATCCTGGTGAACAACCTGATAAACTTTATAGGCAGCCACCACATCACACCTAAGCCTGCACTTTTCCAGGCTGAAGAGCCCTATGACTCTCAGCCTCTCATCATAAGGTCTGTTTTTCTGACCTCTGATCATGCACGTGGCTCTTCTCTGGACTCTCAAGCTTCTCCACATCCTTTTTGAATTGTGGAGCCCAAAACTGGACGCAGTACTCCAGCTGCGGCCTCACCAAGGCAGAGTACAGTGGAAGAATGACGTCCTGGGATTTGCTTGAGAAGCATCTATGGATGCAAGCTGGTGTTTTGCTCGCTTTACTAGCCACAGTATCACATTGCAGGCTCATGTTCATCTTGTGGTCACTCATGACCCCCAAGTCCTTTTCGTCCATAGTGCTAGCCAGCGTAGCACTGCCGAGCCTATAAGCATGCTGCGGGTTTTTCTTCCCAAGGTGGAGAACCTTGCATTTTTCGGTGTTAAACACCATCAGGTTCTCGTTCGCCCATTTCCTGAGCCTGTCAAGGTCAGCCTGGATCACCCTCTTGTCCTCGGGTGTGGGTGCTTTACCCCAAAGTTTGGTGTCCTTGGCGAACTTGGCCAGTCCGCTTCTGATGCTAGTATCCACATAATTAATGAAGATGTTGAATAATACAGGCCCAAGAACAGAGCCTTGAGGGACCCCACTGGTCACAGTACACCACGACGATTGACTTCCATCAACCACTACCCTCTGGGTCTGACCACGGAGCCAATTCCCCAGCCAGTGGATTGTGGTGAAGCCAGCGCTGCAATCGGCCAGTTTTGCTAAAAGGTGATCATGGGATACCAGACTGAAGGCTTTTTTGAAGTCAAGATATATGACATCAATCTCTTCCCCCTTGTCCCGGTGATGGGTCACCTGGTCGTAAAAGGAAATGAGATTGGTCAAGCAAGACCTACCCATGACAAACCCTTGCTGGCTCTCTCTCAGGATTTTGCTATCGGCCAGGCTGTTGAGAACGGTCTCTTTGATAATCTTTTCTAGGATCCTCCCTAGGATAGAGGTCAGGCTGATGGGTCAGTAGTTTGCCAGATCCACTTTCCTCTCTTCCTGAAGAGAGGCACCACATTGGCCTTCCAATCATCGGGCACTTCACCAGAGCACCAGGAGTTCTCGAAAATCTGTGCGAAGATGTCTCGAGTATTCTGGGGTGTAAGCTATCAGGGCCAGCTGGCTTGAAGGTGTCCAGCCTCTCAAGGTGTTCCTTCACAAGGTTAGCATTGATAGAGGGTAAGAGATCACCCTCACCCTGGCCTTTCCGTCCTGTAACGGGCAGGGGTGTCCCTTGGGACTAGTGAAAAACCAATGCAAAGTAGCCATTTTGCAAGTTGGCTTTTTCCTGGGCGTCGGTAGTCAACTGTCCCGTCTGGTTTTTAGCAGGGGTCCAGTGTTGCCCTTGCTTTTCCTCCAGCTCCCCCCATATCTAAAAAAGAACTTTTTATTGTCCTTGATACTGTAGCCAGTTGGAGTTCAGTCGCAGGCTTGGCTTTTCTGGTTTGCTCTCTGTGGGTTTGGACCAGTGCAGAATATTCCTCCTTGGAGGTGGATCCTGTCCTCCATCTTTTGTAGGCCTTTCTTTTCAGATGCAGGAGGTCCGCTAGCTCCCTGCAGAGCCAACGGGGCCACTGTGCCCTTTTGCTGCCTTTCCTCCGAGACGGGATAGACTTTGC